AAAAAAAAAAAGCCTCAATATCTTCTATTCTCCCCTCCTAAATCTTGGTTGCTGAAATTCTTCACTGTTGCAAGTGTTTTAAAACATTTATTTCGTATATTTCTGTTACCTATTATTTCATTCTGGTAAGCAGGGATCTGTTTTTAAAAGACTATAGGGCAGAAACAACCATGCTATTTATTATCATTAAAGGGTTCTTTCTATTTATGGTTCTTTCTGCCATTCCTACATTAGGTGCAGCAGGACAGAACTTCTGGAATATATTCCAGCCTAAACTCATTTCCACTTTCAGTGCCATTAAGCATCTGAGTATCATTTTTACAGCCCAAATGTCTTAGGTTTTACCCCACTAGTGTAACTATTCCTATGTCTAAAGGCCCCATTTCCCCCCAGAATTGGACATGTGGGTTTGTGTTTGTCAATGGACATAACCTTGGGCGATACTGGAATATTGGGCCTCAGCAAACACTTTACCTTCCTGCGGCCTGGCTTCATCCTGAAGACAATGAAGTAAGTTATCTCTACTTCTGTCTTGATGTCTCATCCCCACACTCTACATCACAGTACCATCTCCATCCTGCATTGAATTAGATTTCCCTTTTTCACTGTCACCCTTTCTTTTCTTCCCAGGTCATCCTGTTTGAGACATTACTGAGTGGCTCAGAAGTCCAGTCCGTGAAAAGCCCAAGCTATAAGAAACTGTTTTAACATATTTTGTGGACAATTCGAGTTAATCTACAAGTAGTTTTTTTCAGGAATAAGTGTTATACCAAAAATACCAAACACAGATTGCTTATGATAGCAAAGTGAAAAAAATTAGTAACAATTAGAGAATTGTTATGTCAATTACTAACTTTAGACCTAAGATGTTCAAAAGATTTAATGGCTTTAAAGACATATTTTTAATAGGTCCTTATTTTTGAATCAAATGTGGTTTGATGCAGATTTGAATAAAACCAAAGTTTTATTTTTACCTGCCCACAATCAATTGAGAGGAAGGGAAGGATCTCCTGCCACATGATGGAGACTAATTACCTCTCTCTCCATCACAGAAAGAGCCCTGCACATGCTGGCTGGTTACTTCACTCCAGTGTGTTCTCCTATGTGTACGTGGGGGATGGTAAATAAACAGTGTCTCTACCTTGTCCTCCAGGTTGTGTGTCTCCAAGGTGGCTTGAAAGGTCACATTCAATTAGGGAAGGAATGGCAATTTGACTTCTTCCAACACATGTAACAGCAAAGCTTGGCATGAAATATGTGTCCTCTTGTTCCTCCTTGGCTCTCTGGTGATGAGATTGGTTAGTATTAGTTAGACAAGTCCCACGCACATAACAATCCGATCAATCGTCTCAAATGACACCATTGGAAACCAACTGAATTCTTTGAATTAAAACATAGTAAGTTGCTTTATGACAAAATTTCCTCACCTTGTTCCGTTTAGTGACTAAGGGCGCCAAGTAATTTAGAGAATAATATGATGTCCCAAAGGAGACGAAAGTCTTTGTGTCTGTGATGAGCACCAAATGATCCGATTATCTTCTGCCCTAATCTGAATGACTGTATGTTTCATGGAATGATAATCCTTACATTAAAATTTGTTCTCATAAACTCTATGGAATTGTAAAGTGTGGAAGGAGATCAGAATACTCATCGGTATGTTTTATATTCAGATATAACATATCCTTTGTAATAAACAATAGCCATATAACATATCCATATTATAGATGGGAAAACCAAAGTTCAGAGGTATTTGAACACATATCTCTCCGATTTAGACTTGCTGCTTTCCTATTATAGCAAAGCTCCATACCTATCTTAGTCTTTTCCAAAAATGAATTCAAGAACACGATCAAAGAGACATAATACCATATCACCCCTTAAATAACCGCCCCAAGAGAGGTGGACTCACTCCAGATGGGGTCAATTGCCCAGGCTGTGGGGAGGGCATGAGGATTAATTCATTCCTGCCAAATAACTGTCCTACAGTTATCTCAAATCAATGGACAATTCTACAAGAGTAATTAGTGGACCTTCCTGAGAAATTGAATTAAGAGGAATGGGGGATTTGTCTGTATCTGAGAAGGTAATTACACTTCTTATGGTGGGTAAGTGAGGCACTGAGCCTTTGAGTAACACACAACATTGCTTGCACCCAGTACAGTGTTTCTAACTGGGCACTTTTGACCTAGTTTCTAGCCCCTGGTGACCAAGGAAATGTAATATAGCCAAGTGGAGCATTAGATTCTACCCTTTCAAGGTACACAGCACCTTTCATAGACCACACCAGAAGGACCCAAATTGGAAATCCCACTAAGAGAACTAGACTTTACCTTAGAACAGAACTAAGGGACTGAAATATTCTCTTGAACTTTAAACTGAAATGTCTAGTGGGCAAAAAAGAAAACAGTTGCTATCCCAAGATTGGGAAATTGGTGGCGGTCGGACTTCGGGTGGGCTCCAACCTATTGCTTTGAGAGTGCCCAATGAATGGCAACCCGGGGAAAACATATGTTTTCTGTTTTCCTGCTCTCTCTTTTTGTGATATGTGTTAGTCAAATGGACAGGATTCTGCCTTTGTATGTGAGGCTTATGGAAAGTACTGCCCTATCTTCCACCCTCACGGTCTGTGTCACCACTGTGTCAACCCTCACGACTCTCAAGGCACCCACGTTTTGACAATTCATGTATTGGAGTCTAACCCACCAAGTAATCACCTTCGTGATGAGATCACTGAGAATATGGGTGCCATAGCAAAGTGCGGTGAAACAAATCAGATAACTAAACCCCACACCAAACTCACTGCCATCGAGTCAATGCTGACTCAGCCTGGTGGGTTTCCTAGACTGTAACTATTTACTGGAGTGGAAAGCTCAGTGTTTTTCCAGCAGAGCATTGGTTGTTTCGAACTGTCGGCCACATGGATGCAGATCGCAGCCCAACACATAACCACTAAAACCACCAGCACTCCAGAGAGTTCAGATGGTGCCTGGATGTTGGGAAGAATGGAATCTCAGGTCTTGGAGGCCTGTCTTGGAACAAGTAGCCATCTAAGTGAGAACTCAGTGAAGTCCACATAGAAGAAGCACGGCCAGCCAGTGTGAGGCAAGGACTGTAAACAACACAATTCAAACCCAGAGGATTTGGCACCAGTACCTAAATCCTGACCACCCAGTTTGTAGACATTACAGATGATGGTGGAAGTCCATAATTCATTAGACTCAATCCCTGTGCGGCTTGAGTAACCAGTGAATGCCCACCATCCATTGAATAGGAATGTTAACAGTTCTAATAACAACAAAAAGTATTGTAAATTCAATTTTAGAAGTTGTATTTAGGCTGAAATATAACACATTGCTATTAGATCTTGTTCTGGATCATTTGGAATTTATCCTACATTTTTAATATTTTCTGCTTTCTCTTAGATTGAGGTCTTTCTCTGTTTTATATGGTTATTGTTGCTGCATCCTTTTATGTTTTTGTCCTTGTTTTGTATGTTTTATTAGAGGGAAGCTGGTCTGAAGCCAGCATATATTTGTATAATTTCCTTTTCTCAATAGTATTTAAATTCTGTACCATTGACTAACTTAATGACAGTATCAATAGAATTACCTTATGCCCCTGGGGGATGATTTATAATATTCCCTATCATAAAATAATAATGGTGCCTCTAAAGTAAACCAGAGAGTTATAAACCATAGCTATATGAGTGGATTTTAAGTTAGCACTTAATTTTAGTCCCAATCTAAAAATAATTAGTTCTTATATAACATGGCCCTACTCAATACTTGCCCTCATGAAGAAAGCATTGAAAATATGGGTGCTATAGGAAAGTGAGACGGAGAAACTATATGGTGCCTGGCTATCAGAATCATGTCTGGGTCTTAAAGACTTGTCTTTAAACAAGGAGCCTTCTAATTGAGGCATCTACTAAGTCCACATGGAAGAAGCACATCAGCCTGTGTGATCCGAGGATTGTGAATAATAAATTCAAATCTAAAGGAGGGAAAGGTATAAGAACTTAAATAGTCTCACCTGGTTTGCAGAAGGAGCTCTGCTGCAATCTGAAAAGTCATCAGTTCAAAATCACCATTTGCACCTAGGGCGAAAGATGGGGCTGTCGACCCCCACAATGCTGTCTAAGAAACTCAAAGGGACAGTCAGCATAAACTTGATGGCAGTGAGTTTTGTTTTTGGTTATGGTTTGCAGAAGGCTATGGAAGACAATGGAAGCCCAAAATCCATTAACAGGGTTCCCACATGTACTAAGTCTTTGGAGAATTCCCTCTGAACATAGTCCAGGGATGCGAATTGCTTTTCTATCAGATGGAGAACACTGTAAAGTTGATGATGGTAGGTGTAGCCAGGTTAAATAAATACCTTATTATTTGAGCTCTCTTTTGACGCATTTAAAGTTGTTTCCTTTTTAAGACTTTCTGCTTTCTTTTTTGATTTTTTCCTATATTTTATCTAGTTATTGTTGGTTTATTTTGTTATTTGGTTTGCTTCCTGTTTGCTATTTGTGTGATTTTCTGTATATGAATGAAATCCAAGATAGGCAGATCTATAGAGACAGTAACTTGATTAAAAATTACCCAGGGGCCTGGCAGGGAGGATGGGGGAACTAAGGAGCTAAGAACATTAAGTATGAGAAGAAATGTTCTAAAATTGATTGTGGTGATGATTGTACAAATCTTCTTATATTATTGAACAACTGCATTATATTACATGTGAAGCATATACCCATAAAATGATGTTTTTAAAAAGGAATGCACGAAAAGCAAAAATAAAATGATGTGGATGGAAGATCTGCAATTCAAGAAACAATGGGGAGCAACGGAAGCATGCTGACACATATGAGGGTAAACGTGAACAATCGCTAACGCTCACTGACACTGGCTCAATTCTGACACATCGCAGCTCTACAGAACAGAGTGGAACCGCCCTGAGGGTTTCTGAGACTGTAACTCTTTACAGGAGTAGAAAGCCTCATCTTTCTCTAGCAGAGCACCTGGTGGTTTCCAACTGCCTGCCTTGTACTTAGTACCCCAACTTGTAATCACTGCACCATCAGAATGGACTCATGTCTAATTTGAGGGAAAATTAATGTAAAACTGAACAAAAGTGTTATAAGATGAGAGAGGGTGTAATAGTCATAAGAGTGGCTGAAGGGTTCTATGTTGCTTAGATATTATCTTTATACATTACATTTTTCAATACATTTAACTTTTAAAAGAATATACATAGATTATAACTTTTAAAATTAATAGACAATACAAAAAAAAACCCAAAATCACTAATAAGGTATAAAAGAAGGGAGTAGAAGATGAGGATGGAAAAAAAATCAGCACAAATTAAAAATCTATACTAAGATGATATGACAAAAAAAATATCAACAACCATACTGAATTTAAATGAACTAAGTATTTTAATGAAAAAGGTGTGCTTTATTTCAGACTTATTTTTACAAAGACAATATAAGTTTTACAAGAGATATACTTTTAATATAAGGACACAAATAGTGGAAAATAAAAAAATAGAAATGATACCAGGCATCATCTTTTCAAAGAAAGCTGGACATAGATTTAAATGAAAATGTGCTACCGGATATATTATTAATAACACATACATAGTTTGCAAGAATGATACATAACTCTGGACTTGCATGATCCTAACTATTTAGGCCCCAAACATAGGAAGTAAATAATTCCAGGCCTATATGTAGAAATAATAAAAAAAAAAACAGAAATGTATTACTGTTGGGAAAAAAGTTATTCTACATTTTAAATTGAGATTAACTCATATGCTATAAAGTGTACCTTTTAAAAGGCTGTCATTCAGTAGTTTTTATTATATTCACAATGTTGTAAAATGATTCTGATTAATCAAATCCACCCTCCTTCCCAACAAAAAAAACCCAAAAAAAACCCAGTTCACCATTAGCAGTCACTGCCCATTACCTTGTCTCCCAAGCATCTGGCAATTACTAATGTACTGTCCCTCTTTAGGAATATTTGCCTCTTCTGTATATTTACATACATGAAATCTTACAGTATCTGGCCTTTTGTGTCTGGCTTCTTTCATTTTGCATCATAATTTCAAGTTTCATCCATGTTTCATCCATGCATCAGGAATGTATTCTTTTTTATGAATGAATGATGTACCATTGCATGTATGTTCCATATTTCATTTACTGAGCAATGT